CCTACTGTTCGCTTGACTCAATTATCAATTATTTCTCTTCAATCTATCTCCCGCTTATATACTAAAAAGAGGGCGTCTAGCAAACGCTGGAACATTCGTGAGGTTGCCCATAAGTCACGATCCTTCTAGAAACTCCAGCTCGCATGCTCCCAGTGTCGCGTGACTTCCGCTGTCGTAACCCGTTTATGTTTGAAATTAGGTCCACAATTGAACGGCTGTAACAAACGTTACTGAAGAAAGAAAGTAATTTGTTATCGTTTGGTGAACTGACATTATTTTTACCAAATCCAAAAAAATTTCTCAACAACGGTTTTAGTTTCATAGTACACAATTATTTATTTACCATTAGATACAATAGCATCACATCAAATAATTTTAATCGTGAATACTAGGCAACATTATATTGAATATCTTATTATTATATGAAACGTGTCTGCATAAAGAGAGAAACACCATATAACTCAAAATACAAATTTTCATACATTAGTGAATAATATATTCATCTGAATTTATTTTGAATTCAAGATAATCTATATTTATTTTCAATCTATTTCAGAGAACATCCTTTTTATATTAATCAACCATGATGATGTTTGAGTGCACATAATATATATAATGTGTCATTTATTCTTATATATGTTATTCAACCGACGACAAGACTTACTTTTTACGTTAAGCCTGGCCTCAAGCTAAGCCTACTTGAGTTTAGCTAGTACAATAGTTGAAACGTAATTTCTTAATTCTGAAACGTCATAGGTTATTCAGCAGTTGCTTTGAATTTTTTGTATTTATTTTTTTCGTTAAGGTGTTTTTGTTTCTTAATTGCAAAGCTACACAGTGGGATACCAGCGCTGTGCCCACCATGGATATCGAAACCCGGTTTTTAGCATTATAAGCCTTCAGACTTACCGCAGAGTCACTGGGTTGCACACACGTACACCGAGAGGATTCGACCTATTTTATATCATGTTGCAATAGATGGCAGCAGTGTACACAAAATACTTTATTAACTTTCTATTAATTTTATTTTTTGCTTGGATTTGATTATAAAATGTACCATGTAATTTTACGTGTTTTGTTTTTTATGAAGTTGAGATTTATATTTTATAAACGTAACTTTAACAGGTGTCTTTTTGTAATACATACAGTTTTTAATGTCCATTAAATTGTTTATTATGAAAAGTCGTGATACATTTATACGTCTGTTGCTAAGCGCAAAGTTTCCGCGGGTATCGAAACTTTATTTGTATCGTCATAAGCCCTTAGATTTACTGATGAGCACCGGGGGAAGGCAATTCGGTTGTTTAGGTTTCTGTTTTGTTTCTGTAGTAGGAAAGGGTGCTTACAGGGATTTCTAATTCTTGGGTGTTCGGGTTCTGGACGAGAGTGGATAAGTAACAGTGGCGACGAAAGAGAATAACTTTACAAATACCCAACTTCTTAAAAAAGGAACAACAGAGAATAATAATTTTAATTTTGTAGCTACCTCATATATATTAATATATGATTGCTAACACTACAGAGTAACATGGACACATGACGCTATTGGATTTATTTTCTTCTTCAATATATCTCACGACTCAGTAACACTGTTTCTATACTTATATTAAAGAAACAGAAGTTGCTAATTTACTGAACAAAATATAAGTAAAACTTTTTTAATAATTAAAATCCCTTTGCCCCTAAAAATATTCAATCTTCCTGTTTCAAAATTCAATAAAAATAAACTTTGATCGTTTGTTGTTAAGCACAAAGCTACTCAATGAGCTATTTGTGCTGTACTCATCACGGGTATCGAAATCTGATTTTTATCGTTTTAAGCCTACAGCCTTACCAGTCCCCCAGTGGCACAGCGGTATGTCTGCGGACTTACAACGCTAGAATCCGGGTTTCGATACCCGTGGTGGGCAGAGCACAGACAGCCCATTGTGTAGCTTTGTGCTTAATTACAAACAAACAAACAGCCTTACCTCTAACCCACTGTGTACTATGAAATTAAAAAGAATAAAAAATACTGTACGGTTTTACCTCTTACGATTACATTTTTTTTACACATGGTCAGTTTGTGATAATGTTCTAGAATTCACTACTTTGTGTCCTTTTCCTCTGTTTACTGTTAAGCGCAAAGATGTACCTACCGCAGGGATCAAACCCTGAATTTTAGCGTTATAAGGTCCCAGGTTTACCACAGGACGGCTATATGTTTTGATGTGTTTCCTTTTCAGTTGTTCATCTATAGCAGGTGTCACCAAACTTTTTTCATAGCGGGCCAGATAACTGAGAGAATGACGAGCGCGGGCCGCATAACCATTTTGTTCAATACAATACAGTGAATACACAAAAAATAAAGACAACAAACATGTTTATTTTCCAAAAAGTTATCAAAGAAGGCGACGTCAGCAATAAGATAGTTATATCACATCCAGTGCGCACATATCGGAATCTCACAAACTAAGCAGCAAAAAAAGGTATGTGAGATTTGTGAAACTGGTGTTTAGCTTTTGAGATATCATCAATATTTGCTTTGGAATTGCTGCATCCAACCAAGAGAATTGCTTTCAAATGTTCATCAGTGAACCTCGTTCGATGTGCTGACTTCACGTACTTCATTTATGAAAATGTTTGCTCACAGACATAAGTTGTTCCAAACACTGATGCCATACCAGAGGCAAATTTCTTCAACTTTGAAAATTCATCATCAGGTAAGCAGCGATAAAATTCAACAAGTTTTCCTTCTCTGTGCTTCTCTTTCAACAAGTCATTTACTTGCAAATCAATGAGATCCAACTATAGTTCCACTGGCACGTCATCAAGGTTACAATCAAACGGATTCTGGAACAGAAGAATATCACACTCAATTCTGTCAAGATCTGAAAATCTCTCCAAAAAAATGCTTATTTAAGTCACTAATAATTTTCTTCGGAGACTCGAGGTTGACATCTTCTGCGATTCCAGCGCGAAACTCTTTGAAACACTGAAAATGAGAG